TCAAGTGCAGCTCAAAGTTGAAGTGGCTGCACAAGTTTGCAACGAAAACAATGAGCGATGCCTGGGCTGAGAGTGTGCGCCTTAAAGATATCCTGGAATATACGCTGAACAATCTAGAAGTAGCTGCAGAGGTGTAGCCAAATAACAGATACCCGGAAGGCTTTGCCTTGAGTTATTTTTAAAAGGAGTAGATCTGACTCCAAAAATTTTAGGCTTAAGTAATTTTTGTTAAATATCTTTTATATTCATTTTTATATAGAGATTGTTGATTATTAGAAAAGAACTTGGCTGCTTCTAATATAAATATACAAAGAATATAGGCATACATAGATATCTATATGTATATATTTAATGGTCTATATATGTAGCTTTCCATGTAAAGTTTATGCACGATTTCCAGCTTTGGCCTTTTGAAAGTTTACACTTAGAGATAGATAGATTTACAGCTCGACACCGGAGGCTCTGGCTACATTTACTTGACTTTTATAGCTATTCAAGAACATTTCAACTTTATTTTTAAACTTGCAAACATTTTCAACTGTCACTAACATAGATTAATACAGAACCAATATACCCCCATCCATATACTTTAGCTGAGTCTAGGGTTTCTTGACAAGTCTGCAAGTGAAATATCAATGGAACCGTTGGCCACTTGGGTTTTTGCTCTTAAATAAACTATAAAATACAGCAGTTGCTGAAACAACATTTGAGAATATCAGAGTTCGACTTGAAAATAGAAGCAATATATACATAAAATAGGGCGTGGCTGAACATATTTGAAATTTTACTTAAACAAAAATCTAGCGCATATTTTGTACAGGAAAATATTTACAACTTGTAATATCTTCTGCAGCACAAAGCGCAACCTTTAATAATAATTGGAAGCAAAGAATTTTTAGGAAAATATTCAGAGTTAAATTCTTGACTGTAAAAACTAAACTTACAAACGGACTTCCAAGAGAAAATTCCTAACATAAACAGTTGACTTGAAACACACTTCAAAGTCAACAGAAACATAATACATAAAACGTTTGCTGACTGACTCCACGTTATATTCCTTCCCGCAGCAACTGTGATTGACTGTTGAATCAGTTAAGGGAGCTTCAGTTTGAATGTCTGCACAATCTTAGCATAATTGCAGCCACTTGGCAAACATCCAAATTGCGTTGTTTTCTCCCGTTTTCCAGCAAATCGTTTCCTTAATTGGCAACAGCCACTGATTTATGCTGAAGACATATTTATACGTATATATTTATATATATGAGTAGTCATATATATGTATGTATATATCTGGTTCAATCTATTTTAAATGTAAATTTGCTCAACGAACTGGCAACAGCTGAGCTGTGCTCAGAGAGCTGCCAACTAGAAAGTCCAGACCCTTTTCGGTTATACGACTTTCAGGGGAAAGCTATTTTCTATTGTCTGCCATGATATATGCATATAAGCACATATAAATTATTATGCCGCACACACATCTACTTATCTATGCGAATGTTAAATGCATAGCAAAAAAGAGAACCCAACGTGCCAGCCAGCTGCTTTAAAAACTATTTCTGTGTTAAATATTTCAATCTTGCTGGAAATAAGCTAAAGCATTGAAATCTTCGACAATGGACAATGCAAAATCTTTTCACATTTGACTATTCAATGTTTGACAGAAATGGAAATTCATTCAGCATTATAACACTTTTCCAACAGCACAAAATCACAAATGATATAAAGCGATATAAAGCGGATTTTTATTTTTTTCTTGTATAGAATTCAAATTTCTATATCACTCATCAATTCACAACTTAAAGAAGATATAGGCAAGCGAATGCCAGCTTACTTGATGGATGGGAATGTTGAGTGAATTTAACCTAGGTTACTAAACTGTTATAAAACTTAACATTCGCAATAAGAGCTATGTTAAAGCCAAGAACAGTGATAAGGTACTTAGTTAAAGAAAGCAGTTTAACATAAAGATTATTATCTGAATCTTCGCAGTTAAGCATAGAGCACAATTATCGTTTATATTAGACTATTTATATTCTTTCAATTATCAATTTTGTCATGTCAAGCTTGAACAAGTTTGAATGACAATTCAATTCATTGATGCATTGACCCAAATTTAAATGAATTTCTAGGAACTAAAATAAAAACTTATCCAGCAAATTATAATTTATTGAATTTTCTGAGCAGCTGTCCCACTCAGTGCCTCCCGCTGCCTACACTTGCAACACTGCATATACATATACTTTGACATGTCTATCAATTATATCTAGCAACAAAATCTTTCTGCTTGCATTTAGTAAATGAATTTGTATAAAGACAGCTAAAGAGGCTTTTAAGCCCAAGACTATTTATTATACTATATACATACATACATTAACATAAGTCGACTCCTCGCACACTTTAATTTACACATTCCATGGCTTGTATTTCTGTAAATTTGCATTTACTTTCAACAATATTTGCAATTTACTGTGAATAAACATTTGTTAATTGAATCGCACATCATTAACCAATTTGCACAGCTGAAATATCACAAATATTTGTCATTGAACATTTATATAATGGGCATAAATCATGTTGGTATGCAGACATAATGAATTTTTAAATATGTTTATGGATTCAGTTTACATTTCTGTTATATGCCTTTTATCTCCATTTTTTACCTATTCGCCTATTTGCAAATATTCGCTGTATTTGGCTCGTAAGCTATGCATAATTAATTGTCAAGTATTTCAATTGGACGCTTTATCCGCCCCCCCTGCGCCTAACCATAGCCAAAATGCAGAGCATACAGTCCATTATTGAACGAATGCCAAACAATTCGATATGTGTGAAATGCGCGTTATTTGCTTTTCAAGTCTGCAAATCGACAGTAAATATATTTAGCGCTTAGCTTACAATCGGCATACAATGGGCTAAATGCCAACGATTTGTGACAAAAAGTGAGAGAGAGTTGGGATAATTAGCAAATTTAAACGAAATTGACATTTAATAGCGAAATTCTCTCATTTGACTAGCTGAAATGTGAAATGGATGCACGTGCCTCAATGCACTATGTTAATAGAGTGATGTTATAGCAACAGCTGTTAAAGAGAGTACAGTTTACAGGATTTGTTGCTGCTATATACGCAGCTGTTAGAGAGAAAAAGAGAGAGAGAGAGAAAGAGAAAGAGATAGATAGGTGGAGAGAGTGAGAGAAATAGAATCGCCATAGACAGAGAATTACCAACTGTTAAACACTTTATATCTAACTCTACACTTGTATAATTTCCAATTGGCTTAGCAACCTAATATAGTAGAAATATTCAGCCTATAATGATGAGGGAGAATACCATAATTTATATTTATATATATATATATATATAAATCCTTTACACAGAATCCTAATTTACAGCCCATAATGCTGAGGAGTGCTATAAATAGACTGCTGTTAAGAAAATTCTGTTATATCTGTTCACTGTTAAAAGACAGAGACACTATCACTCAATCGTGATGTCTGATAAAGATAACAGCTGCAGCTGTTACTAACATTCTGCTAGAAAATATATTAATGCATAATGAATATCTCTACATCTATATATTTTGATATTCAGGTTTTACAACAGTTTATTAATTACTTGTTTCCATAATGCATTCCTCACATATTTCCACACAGTTATAATTGCATATAAATATGTTTGTATATGCATATAACTGTTTATTTGCACAGATAAGATCAACAGTATTGTAAGCATACTGCTTACATTTATATACATATATATTTTGCATATATTGATATTACAGATATTTGCATAATTTGCCACAAGAATCAAAGTCAGAGATATGAAACGCGCATAATTGAAGGTAAATAGAATTCGAGTCAATTTGCAACAGTTTGGCGAAACACAAATAATGCTAATGGCTAGATGATAGATAGTATAAAAGAATATAAGTTAGCTCTTTTTATTTTATTTTTTCTTTACTTACTTATTGTTGTAGAGAGTGGAGAATATTGGTTAGATTCGAATTCAAATAGAATACAAAATGTACAAATTGCATTGCTATGTGTGTGCGAAGGAGAAAATTCATTGTTAAATGAAAGTAGAAATTGCGTCTAAAAATGGCAATGGACCAAAAAGCTTTTAACTTGCAAAAAAAAAAAATAAAAAAAATCAAATAAAATCAAATAAAAAACGTATATATATATATAAGTGAAAAATGATTTTGCATAGGAATTGTGTATGTGTATCTGCTGTGTGTGTGTGTGAGTGTGTAACAATGAGCATGAAATGCTATTTATATTGTTCAATATTTAAGTCAAGAAATGTTACAGAAGAAACAACAAAACAAAACAAAAAATATTTGTAGAAAAGTGATGTGACGCATGACTTGGTGCAAATTTTCTTGAGTGTGTTAAGAGTGTGTGTGCGAGTGTACGACTGTGCGTGTGTGTGTATATATAGCATATATATGTATATATATATATATATATTTACTGTTGTACATTACAATTTTAGGTTCCATGCTTGATTTGTGCGTCTTCGTTGATTTCATTGGCTGCGCCTGGCAAACTCAATTCACGTTTTGTTTCGTTTCGCTTTTTGTTTCTTTTTTTGTTAATTATTTTGTTATCGATTTCGATAACAGTGTGATGTCGATGACGCCTTTTGATATGCTGCCCATTCAAGTTGCTGTTGCTGTTACATTCGAGCCGCTGGTTGATATTTTATTACGAATTTAACGGCTGTTTTTTCGGCACTTCATTTCACAATTCAATTTTTTTGTTGCGTTATTTGTTTATTTCTGAATTTTGTTTGTTTGTTGCTGTTGTTTTTTGTATTTTTCCAGTTCAGACGAAACCGTTGAATTTATTTGATTTTCTGCTTCTCTTTATTTTGCGTGTGTTTATTTATTTGATTTTTTATGTTGTAATTAAGTTACAAAAATGTTTGATTTTTGGTGTTTTTGTTACTTCATTTTTATTTTAAGTTCAATTGAATTGATTTTAATTATTTTTTTTTTTGTTTTTGGTTTTGATATTATGTACTAATAAAATGCATGTAAGTCAGTCCGTCGTTTCACAAATTGTTTGCCGTTGAGCTGTAAATGTAATTTATATACACACACATATAGAATAGTTATATTATATATGTGTATATGAAACTGTTGGACAGGCACTCAGAACCAAACCCCTCAGCAATTAGCAACAATTTAGCAACTCGATTGTTGCAGTTAGCCAAAGTTGCCTTAACAATTGCCACACACACACATTCTCTTACACTCACACTCCCACACACACCCACTAACACACAGTTTCCATTTGGCATGGCATATTGCTCGCTTCCTGCCTAGCTGTTGGCGTCTTTTGGTCTTTGGCTCTGTTGCAGCTGCATTTGCCACACCTACCAAATTTCTCAAGCCATTAAGCACGCTTCACACACATGCAATTAGACTCACACACTCATATACACACACACACGCACACATCTATTTCCACACATACATTCAAACGCACTGCACTTGATGCTCGGCCATTAAATTTTTGGTTTGTTTATTTGCTTTTGGGGCAACGTGAGATTTTTGGCTTGAGTTTCCTTCGAATGCGTATTTATTATTTTGCTCCTCGTCCAAGGCGTTCACAGCGCTCGGCGCTCAGAGGAAAAGACAACTTGATCACAGCATGGAAAATGTTCAACTGACCGAAGCGCGAGCCTGCTGCCACGCTTAGCCAAACGCTGTGGCAGCAGCAGCAGCAGCAGCAGCAGCAGAAGCAGCGAGCAGCAGCAGAGGCCGTGGCAGCAACCGTTGGCTTTATCAGTTCGTCGTGCTCGTGCAGAGGCGCCACCTCGTATAAGCTCGTTTAGCTCGGGTTTCGGCTTCATTTCCTTTTTCATTTTTTTTTTTTTTTTTCGTCCTTTTTTGTTTGGCTTTTTCGCTCGTGTTCGGCTTTTCACTCGTTCGCCTCGCTGTGGCAAGCAACATGTTGGACTCTGGCGCAGCATCCTTGGGTGTTGCCTCGACACAAGCCACAGCTATACGCTCAATGCGTGGCGTCACGTGTTGCACGCTTGGAGTGAAAATATCTGAGCAGAGCTTTCACTCAATGCGCTGCCAGCTTGCATTTGTTTATACGCTCGCTGCTAATGTGACTGGCCACGCCCGCCGCCCTGCACGCCGCCCGCAACCACGCATAACGGAAATTATGCATACATGTGTATGTTGATGATACGTCGAGCTGCCTCGATATGGTTATTGGATATGGCTGAAGGAATCATTATTCAGAAAATTTCTTCGATATTCTTTCTTTTTTTTTTTTTTTACCTTTGCTGCCGTAAGTTTTTCATCAAGCATTCGGTTATCGAAGAGAGACACGTATAGGTGTGTGTGTGTGTGTTAGTTGAAACTTTTTGGATATAGCTGTTCTCAGGTGCATTCACACATGAGCGCCTGCCCTAGCTGCATAAGCTCGGAAATTAGAGTAATGCACACACACACCGAGGGCGGGAGGCGTGTCAGCCAGACTTGAGACACGGTAAATGCAATTATAAAGCGCTCACAGGCAAAAGGAAAAATACTTTGTACTTTTTTTTTTTTATCCTGTTTTTGGTAATAAGCACTCGGCAATTTGTTAAATGAAATAAGTCACAGAACTGCAGCTAGAATTTGTGCCCACACGCCACACGCCCCCCAACTGAAACAGCTATAAAGTCTAGTTTGGCAAAAGAATGAGCCTACGGCATTGTAAGAGGGAGAGAGTTTGACTATATTTATGTATTTGATGCTCATAATTCGTTCACTTTGTGCATTTTATTAATAAAGTTTGCCAACTGGAAAAAGTCCGAGTTCGCTTGTCTGCCACACGAAGAACAAGATATAAATACAGATTTATATATGTATATGTATATGTATATACAATGTGTGTGTATGCGAGTAGAGTATATTAGCTATATGAGTATGTACATGCTGCATATGCAGATTGGTATTTAACTCAAAGTTTTTTGGTTACTTTTAAGCTGCGGTTCGAGCACATAAAAAACTTGTTCTCAGGTTAAAAGTTTTTTATTTTCTTTCCCACGTTCGCCCTCGCTTCCTCCCTCTCTCTCCCGCCCACACTTTTGTAAACATTTAAAGTTTGGACCACCTTTTAAATTGTTGCTTATTGAAACATTTTGCTGCATTGATTATTTTACTTCTGTTGCCACTCAAATTTTATATCAGTTTTCTTAACTTTCTGTTTAAAAAGTTTACCGAACTGTTAACAGAATCTTGGCTAAAAACTTTACGGGAAATTGTAATATTTATTAAAGTTCAATTGAATGTTAAGTTCAGTGCTGTAAAGTTACAGAGACAGGTAGAAAACTTAACAAAAACATGACAATGTTATGTAACAATGTTAACAAAGATATTCACTGACTGTTAAGTAACTGTAAAGTAATTCATATATGTATATACTCTTATATGTTATGAAAATATATGCTAATATATAGAGAAGAGCTCAAGCTCTCTATTCCTTCAAACATAACTTTAACATCAATGCAAAGCAATTTAACAGAAGTAGGCAGTAATGAATGGCTTAACATAACATAGAACTGTTAGGCCATAATATGAGAAGTTTAACAGAATAAAGCAGTAATAAATGTTGGCTTAACATAACAGAGCACTGTTAGGCCATAATATGATTGGAAGAGTTGTCAAAGGTTAGGTTACGCATTGAAGTTCCCATGATAACATATGTTAACTCTAATTCAACTTTCCTAAAAACATATTTTAACTTCATAGCTTAGATTGAAAGAGAGCTAAAAAACCTTAATAACATTTATACACATGCAATAACTTTTATTTAAACTCTTGAGCACCCAAGCAACTACAACTATTCAAACGAGACGTCATTTCAGTAATCCATTTACAGCCGTTTAACAATCAATTAATACTCAGTTCTTATCTTGGTCCCCGCCATTCTGGCCATCTTGCGGTGGTGGACCATGTCCGTGTCCCTGTCCGTGTCCGTGTTCCTGTCCCGGGCCCTGTTGACCATGCTGTCCGGCATTTTGTTTAAGAAAGCCAGAGTTCATAATCTGGCCAAAATGCTTAGACGGCATTTGTGGCATCTGCGGCATTTGCGGCATCGCAGCCTATAAAGCGGAAGCAAAACAAATTTTATAGAGCACATAATTTCAATTTTCTAGCCGCCCACTCACCAAAGCAACGGCCAGCATCAGAAAGAAAACAGCGAATAATGCGAACTGCTTCATTTTGGTTTTGATTTGATTTTGTAACTGATTTCTCACTGCATTTGCATTGCCTTTTTATACCGTAGCTACGAGCAGCTGAATTATCTCCAGTGAACAATCAGAGTGAGCACATTTTGTTCAACCTAATTGATTTAAAATTTCGCTTTTAATTACCAAATAGCACGTCAGCTGCACAAAGTGCATAATCTGTGTGCCAGGGCACAAGCCAATTAATTCTTGGACAAACGTGAAATTGCAATAATTATTTCCAAATGCAGCATTTAATAATAATCTTTCAAAGTCAAAGTCTGAATGGCAGATAAAAATTACATATGAAAGAACTATGAAAACAATTTGAGCGTAAACCATTCAAAAGCGAAAAATAATTTACTTTGTTTTTTGTGACAAATCATCGAGATATAGTTTATAAAAATAATTGCCCTTTGCAAATAAACAAATTACTTGTACAAATCTGAAAATCTACTTTGAGAATTGTTTTAGAATTTTGCGAGGGTAGTCTTAGAAATATACAGAAATATTATTATTGATTTAATATTATTTTAATATTTATATTAATTTTTTCTTACTTAAAAAAAATTAAATAAATTATTATTAAAATATTTAAATTCTTAGAGTATATATATTTCTTTTCAAATTTTTTGGTTGTCTTTGCCAAAAAGAAATAAAATAAAATTGCTTGAAAATATTTAAAAAAAATTTTATCTTTGTTTTTATTTTATTTATTTATTTATTTATTTATTTTTTTTTTTTTTTTTTTTTTTTTTTTTGTTAACAAACAAGAATTTCTGTGAAGAAAATTATTTTTTATTTTATTTTTATTCTATTTATTTTATTTTATATTTATTTCAAATAATTTCACTTGCTAGCTAATTATTTTGAATTTTTTCACACAATTTGCTCTATTTTGGCCATCTTATATTTGTCAAGAACTTTTGTATGGAAAGAAGAAAACAAAGTAAAAATGCAAAACTTGTTTTTTTCTAACAGTAAATAATTTTTTAGCATAATTTTTAGAGCGACAAGCTCATAAATTTGTGCTAACAACCCATAGGGGAAGTAAAAAACAAGTCAGACACACTCACACACATGAACGCACACACGCACACAAAATGCGCAATTTATGAGTCATAAATTGTGGAAATACAAATATTAGTTCTAAAATTGTGCTGCAACTCTACGAATATACGATATATATATACGATATATACGACATCTTTCTTAAAGGCGCGCTCTGACATTTACGGTCCACTTGCATTGAATTGGTGGGGGGCGGGGCTGGCTGCCTTTGCTGCCACCTGACATTTGCCACAAATGTCACCTGCGGCTGTTCCGTGGCAATTTCGCTTAGGCGCCACAGTGCCACAAAATACCTTCAATTTGAGATTAAATTTTCTTCGTTTTTTTTTCCTATTTGCAGCCAAAACAAACAATTTTCTAGTTTGCGATTGGCAACAAAAGGTAGCGCGACAGCGACATGTGCCACGCCCACATGGACCACAACTAGGCACACACACACTGAGACAGGCATCCCTTCCACTCAATGCGGCAATCATGTGTGTATGTCTGCGTTTGTGTGTGTGTGTGTGTGTGTGTGTGTGTGTGTGTTGGGCTTTTTCTTTTAAGGTAATAAATTTTCCTTTTTCGCTTAGAAATATGAATATTGAATATATGCCTAGAGTCGACCGTTCGCATAATAAACCGCAGGGCAATGCCAGCCAATGAAATGGTAACAACGGAGCGACTGAAAGCCGCTGAGCGTAAAACTACTAAAAAACAACTATCTCATTTAAAATTCCTAGGTGGAAGAAAGCGAAGGAGCACGTGTTTGCTGCACTGCGAGAAACCAATTGGTTAGTTCTTGCAGATATTCAAGCTAGCTGATGTATAATAAAATAGATTTATGTATAGTTAGTAAAAAGAGCTACAGTGAATATTTCATGGTATTAACTTGACAGCTATATTTAAATATTGAATAAATAAATTAGTAGAAATAAGCCAAGATTAATACTTAAAACTTTTTTAAAAACTCTTTTAATTTATAATATTTATATAAATTTTTTTACATTTTAAATGTAAAAAAAAAAATAAAATAAAATAAAATAAAATAAAATGCATTAAAAAAAGTACATTGTGCATTTTTTAAATAAAAAATTGTAATAAAATTTTTTTTTTAATTTAGTGTAAAATATTTATAATAATAAAAGAAAATAATTTATTTTACTAATGATAATATTAAAATAAATAATAATATTATTTATAATAATAATAATGATAAAAGTAAATAACCATAACCATTTAAAAAAAATATATATTATTATTTAAATTTATCATTATTTATGTTTATCATATATTATAATTATTATTTCTTTTATTTTATTAATTTAAATATTTTACATTGAATTCGACTTATTTATTAATGCAATCTGACATTTCCAAAAACAATTGTAATTTAAGCCAGTTTCAGTCTGGAATCGCCTCAGTTTCATACAAATATTAATTATTGCAATATATAAAATCATCTTAGAATTTGTCTGCTTTCGCTCAGTGTATTTGTGTGTGAATAGTTGTTGTCTGACCTGCAGTCCTCATGTAGGGCCACTGTACATACTGAATGAGATGAGGAGATGAGAGTATGAGTCTGAGTATGAGTCTGAGCTGCGTTCAGATGCTAGATGAGAGGCACTAATGAAGTTTCGGTCGGTTTGTCCTTTTAAGGACTACGGCTTGCCAGCCTCATTGTTTGACTTTGCCACGCCACGCCCCGCCGCTCGCCCCACCACCTGACAGATCTTCCCTTTATCAACCTACAAGTCAGAGAGCTCATAATGTTTGCACAGTCAACGAAAAGTGTGCGCCTGTATGTGTGTGTGTGTGTGTGTACTGTGTGTGTGTGCTGTGTGTGTGCGGGCCTGGCATTTGCCTGCTCTGCTGGCACTCTATTTATTTATGTTTATAATAGGATTTTTATCAAAACTTTTCTGCTTCTTGCTTTATTCGTTTTACGCTTTTCATTTTGGTTTTGTTTCTCGCTCGATTCTATTTTGGTAATGAGCATTTAAAAAGACAACAGCTACTAGCAACAGCTGACCCGCAGCTGCTCTGGCGTTTGTCTTTTGACACGCCCCAATGTCCCTCTGCCTCCTCCTACCCACTCCCTTCACACACTCACTTGGGGAATGAGAGAGCCAGCGAATGCCCGCAGAAACGTGCAGCCAGTCCAACTTTTTTTTTTGGTCATTTCCATTCACACCAGAGCTCAAACTTTTTATGTTTTACACTCATTTCACCACACTTAATATAATGCTGGAGCTCTGGCCACGCTATCGAAAAACCAGGCAACTAAATAATTACCAAATATTTGTGCACGTTTATTATGCCCGCTCGCATAGTGCACAAAGAGGGTATATTGGTTTTATGGGGATATTTCTGTCAGCTATTTACAGATTAGCTGACTATGCTTCTGTGTCCTATATATATATGTGAAATTAACAGAATTTGAAATATAATCACAGTCATGCTTAGCTCAAATTATTACGCCTAGTTCATAATGCATTAGCTGCTTAACAATCGATGACTAATTCTACCTAATTCTAATTCTAATTCTATCTTCAACAGTTTTAGTAGAATCCCAATCGCTCTTAACTTTCTCTACAGATTGAGAAACCATTATATATTTTTGATATATTATATTTTATAACATTAGATTAGTATATTCTTCAGCTTCAAAGCTGGAACAGCAAGTTGTCAACTTATTTCAAGAACAGCCCAAAAATTATAAGATCTAAAAGAAAAATTCTCGTTTCTAGACCTTGACTAATCATAAGAGAATCTCCTTCTTTTATTCATTTAAATTTAAGCCTGAGTGAGTATTAAGCATTCCATTCTACCCAATTGTAAAACTCTAACTAATATGCTTTGTTTGTTTGTTTTTTTTTTTTTTTTTTTTGAAGCGCATTCATCTCATTATGGTTTGACAGCCTGTTGGCACCGCCTCTGGGTCTGGCTAAACACTCATTAGCCACGGCCGTCCATTGCGACTGTCTGCACTGATTATAGACATTCGGGAGTAGAGACTAACATTTCCCACTAAATTCACTGCTTAAATATGCCTAATTTGATTTGGCATTTCCCGTTTTTCCGGGCTCTTTACGCTCAGGCACTTTGCCAAAAGAGCAGCCGCAATTAAAAGTCAGCCGCAAAGGCAACCAAAACCAATTGCAGAGCATTCAAACGCTATGAGCTCGAAAGTCAAGAACCTCAAGGACCAAACGGCAATGAAGATTACGTTTATATACATATATATGTATATGTATGTATGAAAAGCGGATGCTGCACGCAAGCCACAAACTGGGATGAACTTAAAGAAATGGACATCCCAAAGCTACCTCAGACACTTTAAAAAGCAACTAGTTCACATAATGAACGAGCTGTGAAACGAATTTTAATTAAAGCTAGAGCAAAAAGGAGATGCAGAAAAAATGACGTGAAACATTTAAAAACAAAAAATTTAATTTAGCTCTAAAAAACTATGAAAATTGCATAGAAAGGCGATAATTGAAGAAGGGGGGAGAGAGAGAGAGAGAGAGAGAGAGAGAGCATATTACAACCCTAGTTTAAAGAAATATCAAATTCATATGATGCACAAGCTTCTCATTAGAAAATTTTCCGTAGCCTGATGAAAATCGCATAGAAAGGTCATTGAAGACATAAGACTAATTGAGAAACTGAAACGTGAGCACACTACAGTGCCTAATTAAGAGAGCTAATCAAGCAGCGCTCTGAATTAGATACACGCTCTGACAGATATTATAAATGGAGCTCGTGAAAACCGCATAGAAAGGCAGGAGAAGCAATTTCAAAGGCATTTTAAATGAATTAATGTTTGTCTCATTATAAAATGTAAATAACTAAAATGACAGCTAAGAACAATCGAAAAAAGGGGTTAAGCTGCGGCAATAGAAGAGCAGCCTAACTGACGAATTTTAATGACGAATATGAACCTAAAACGTAGATGAATACATACAAACAAACACACACACACATACGTAGATAGAGAGAGAAGAGTTTTGTTCTGGCTGGCAAATAATGACAAGTTTTCAAAGCCTCATTAATCATGAAAAGTTCATAAGGACTTAATCCATGCCAGAGCCAAAAACAGAACTAAGTAATCCCAACAGCTGGGTAGCACACACACACGCACACCAACACACACGCACACCAACACACACACACAACAACCACACGCACACACAGTTAAGCTGTCGATATTTGTTTTTCGTTTGGCTTTGGCAACAAATTAAGAGTAAAACTGACGAAAAGCTGCGTCTCGCTTGGCCTACAGGATATAAACTTGCAAAAATTATATACAACATGACTTTTTATTTACTTTTATATATATATATATATATACTTAGTACATATCTATATGCTATTTGTCTTCTTATTTTTGCTGTTGTTTGTGTACAAAAATTATGCTGCTCATATTTGTTTGGAATGCTTTGGCTGTTGGTGCTGCTAACCGCAGCCCAGGGCATTTTCGGCTGGGCACTGTGACACACACACACACACTCGCACACACACGCATACACACAGCAGCGCGTACACCCACATAGGCTAGGACATTCTCTTTGTGGCGTTGTGTCTCCTGCAATGTTTGGCTTTGGCTTTCAGCTCTGGCCACGACTTCGCTCAAGTCATGCAGATTGCGAGGCGAAGGCAAGCTGACTCGTTTTGCTAGTATTGTTTGCTGCCACGCCCCCCACCCCGACCATGGAAGCCCACTCCCTGCAGCTGAGCCCGCTCACTTGCAAATACAGTAAATATTTTTAATTCTTTGCCAGCGCCAAGGGCCAATGGCAATGGCAATGCGTTTGCTGCTACAACAACAACAACAACTGGAACAACAACAATAACAATATGAAAGAGTGGCAGGATGGCGCCGGCATTTCAGCTTTTAAGCTAAAGCTATGAAAATAATTTGGTCCTGAAATACTTGCGGCTTTGGCCGGGCAATCGGAATGCTTTTTGTGGTCCAAGCAACAACAACAACAACAACAGCCAAAATAGAAGTAAAGGACACCGCTTGACGAGCGAGCGTGTTGATTAAGCCAGGCACAGGACGAAAGACAGCACAGAATTTGAAGCAGCACGGGGCACATTGTTAAGCCACACAAAGTGCCGCTGCAAGTGGATAATAGCCGAGCGGAACTATGTGCATTTGTTTTATGCGCTCAAGTAAATGAAACAACAACAAAACGCGAAACTGCCAGACGCGTTGCCCAACCATCAGTAAAAAGACGAAGAAGAAGAAAAAGAACGAGAAATTAAAAAAAAAAGAAAAAACTGACAACTCGCGCAAGCCGCGGGCCAAGCAGCCCCAACGAAAATATGGTGGACGGAAATTGTGTGTGCACTGTGAAAACTTTGCCACGCCCACACCAGCAGGAGCAGCAGCAGCAGCAGCAGCAGGAGCAGCCACAGGCTTTGCTCAAGTCAAGCGCTGGCGTTGTCATCAGCTTCTCAGCATTTCGTAGCTGGGTTCTTTGCATTTTTGAGTAACCCACACACACACACCCCACACTCGAACACACACACACACACACACACACACACACACACACACCTATACCCATTTAGCAGCCGCGTTGCTTTGTGCCGGCAGTCGCTTTGTCCGCTGATTCAACTTAAGAAATGCATAACTGCATTTTACATTTAGCAGCAGCATAGAGCACAATGCACCACCCGCACCACCAGCACCACCCGCACCACCAACGTGCGCCATTTTGCCTAAAGAGCGCTCGTGCGTGCAGCTGTATGTGTGTGTGTGTGTGTGTGTGTGTGTGTGTGTGTGCTTGAAGACTGGGCCAAGCCCTGGGGGGCAAACACACAAATTAGTTTTAACCAGGCATTGTCACGCTGTGGTGCACCCCATTGTGGCTACCGTGGTTGCCGATTAAGTGCGGCTTGCAGACTTCTATGCCGCAGTCCGCCCATGCTCTCTATGCACTGCCACGCCCTGTTGACATTGTGCCACACCTATAAAGCGTTTCTTTCACTTATCAGCAGCAGCAGCAGCAGCAGCAGCCGCTGCACTCACATTTTGACTCCATTTTCTAATCAACTTTTTTCACATTAAGTTTCGTCGAGGCGCTAGCGAAATTGATCAACACTGGCCAAGAGCGCTTTTTACCGATAAGCCAAACTGTTATGAAACACTGCTCTGCTTTTACTGTTGATTTAGTGACACCATTTCTGACGTTTATCAACACTAAAACTGACGCTTGAGTAGCTGAAATCGTTTTGCGATTTTCCATTCCATTTCTGTCTGTCTAAAGCAAATTTTATTTGGGTACTTAAATAAATGTTTAGCTATATTTTTAGCCATTTCCAGCTTTCTATTTCTATGTGATGCCTTTGTCTAGCTTTAACAACACTGGTGAGTTATGTTTGCCTATTCCAATCATTTTTATTGATATTGCTAGTTTTATGCGCAAAGCAGTTTTAGTTTTCATAAATTCGTTCCATTATATTAAATATTATCCTGTGGACTTATTTTTCGAAAAATTGAGAAATATGTAGTATATAAAATGTATACAAATTACTATAAGCACACAGTATAAAGCATCTAAATAAATCCAATCAAGTCAGGTTTTAGACAATTTCTTCCATGCATTTTAATACTACCTATAAATATTAAGCGAAGGAAAGAAAAAACTAAAACAGAATATCCAATAAGAAAGAAAAGACTTATAAAATATATATCTCTTTGCCTATTTCCCTGAGTTGATGGCAACTATAAAATATTCAATATTTTCCATTGAAACAATTCAATGCCATATATTTAAGACAATGTCACAAAGGAATATATTATATTATAGTATATTATTTCAGCCATATACAAGCAATAACATACGAGACAAAATATAGTTGAAAAAAAAGCAATTAAATTTCAGTCAAATTTCATTTTACCTATATTTTTTAAAACATATAATAAAATAAAATATTTAAGCCAGAAAAAAAAGACTACAAGTGGATTAAAATGTCAAACAAAAATGTGTAGAGAAACCATTCAGAGCTTAAATTGTGTGAGTCAGTGAATTATAATTTATGATTGATGCTGGATAGCTCACTGACAGCTCTAAGAGTCAGGCGGTGTAGGAGCGGGGGGGACTGGGCGTCAGGGGAGGCTCCAAGCATGCCCCAAACAACAACTGACAGCAACAATGCGAATTCAAAAAGCAACCAAAATATCGAACAACACGCAAATCTATGCCAAACACACACACACACACACAGACCCAATGGCAGCTTCTGTGTGTGCGAGTGAGTGTGTTCGAAATGCAACATGTGATACGATGTCCTAGTTCCGTTGCTATTACTGTGCTGTTATGCAACACAATGGCACACATCAACGCATGTAAGCGTAAGCAGCGGCCATTGAGTTGGAGTGAAAGCTCAACAACAACAATAGCAAAAATTGAGTAAAAGCTCACAGTGAAAGCTCAGGTTAAGGCCAAAGAGAAAAGCTCAGTAAGCAGCATAACATAAATGTAAACATTTTAACAGCTTTTCAGTATAACAGTATAACAGCTTTTTATGTTTAACAATATAACAGTTCTAGCTCAGTTTATAACTAAGGCTTTAACACCTGGTTCGGGTATTCGATAATGAGACAAGCTTTTGCATTGGAAACACACTATAAATAATATATTCATATAACAGTTACTAACATTCATATTTCGATATAACAGTTACTAACTGTAAAACATAACATTCGTATTTTGATAGTTCCAGCAAAAGTTCAAAATTAATATGCAAACAACTGTTAATCCATTCGTTAACTGAAAGTCAAATCTTTTACTGGAACATCAAAACTTTGATTTACCAAATATATGTATATATAGAAATGAATCTGTCTTGATGTGTTGTACTTACATTTCGTTAGGGATTCTAAAAGTGAAATATAACGAAACAAAATACAATACACACGGCATTAGATATGTCATAGAGTTAGTATAAGACCGACTTTCGGTTAGGTTTAACAGGTTTATTGCAGAGTTAGATGATATATGTTAAGAGTAAGCGAGCTCCATGGAAGATCAAGTGAAATATTTATGCATATGTACAATGTTTGACATGACGTAGCACAACTGAAGAATAATTCGCGTTTATCAAAATATATAATATATAATATGTATCTAAATTTATATATATATAACATTCGTATAATATGCCTAAAACTTGTTCCATTAGATTTGCATTGCTTAAGACTAGAGGACTGCTTGGCAGGCATGGATCATATTCAAAGGGATTAGAAACTCGGTGAAAAGCATTTGGTATTCCATTATAATATTGAGAAACTATATAGATACTTATGGATATATCACTCACCCATATCATCTATTATAGGTGCCATTCGCAATGTAACGCCGATTAGCATTAGGCACATCAGCAACAAAAGGCAGGCAGTTGCAATGATTGTCCAGCGTGCGCGTTGCGAGAGATCATGTGGATCGATCACCTGTGAGGGGAATGGAATATACTACAGTTATAAATCTGGCTATCTATCCTAAATATGTGTGTTACTTACCTTGACAACTTCATTATCCAAATCCTGCACGAGAATTTTGGGTTTTTTATGACGATGACGTTTTTTGTGACGATGTCTGAAATGGAAAATTGATAGAAAGGTGTTAGAAAAGAGAATTTAGGAGATATAATAAGGGAAACGAAAGCGAATGAGGTGACAGAGAGAGAGAGAGAGAGAGAGAGAGAGAGAGAGATACAGAGATCAAGGCAACAGGTAGGAGAGAAAGCGAGAAAATAAGGGAGTAGGAAAAGATAAGGAGATAAGGAAAAACAGAGGAGAAAGAAAGTAGGAATATAGTTTATGTAGGATAAAATCATATAAGCATTACATAATACAAGATTTCATATAATTAAAAATTTCTTCAAAATTTAATGTACAATATACATATATTCTTACACAAGCCCGCCTCCTGTTTTAAGCATAAGTAAACAGATGATAAAGTATTTACACCTGATAATGAATTCGTTTTAATGACATTAGGGGAGAGTATCGTCTATAGCAGCATCGAGCTAAATCAATTACTCAACACACACACACACACACACACACACACACACACACACACACACACACACACACACACACACACACACACACACACACACACACACACACACACACACACACACCCATCACACCCTTCCACGCTCACTAAACACACTTGCCTTCCTCCCTGTCCCTCTCCCGCCCAGCTGGCATATCATCTCAGCAGCAGCAACAACAGCAACAGGAGCCGCTTAAACATATTTGCTCTATTTCCGTTTGGATTTTGCAAAAACTTCCGCATTACAAAGCTGACACAATTTCCCCGCTTACTGCATGGCACTCTGCTCCGCTCCGCTCTGCTCCCCTCTCAAACCCAGCTAACCGCCTTCGCTACAAAAACAACATGGCGTCGTCTACCGTTACACGTTTTACAGCGGAAGTGCCTGCTGATGCTTCCAAAAAAAAAAAAACAACAAAAGCAACAAAAATGGGAAAAGTGGAAACAAAAAACAAGGCAACATCAGTCTCTGGCAGTCGGTCGGTTGGTTAGTGGGGTTTAGGTTTACGCGTTGGCCAGGTGCTGTCGGCGAATACCGTCGCCATCCGTAACGTATCCCTCTCCCACTCTCTACCTCCATCGCTAAGTGAAAGCTGTGCCGCACAAAGCTTGTCAATCAATTTTTGTCTGGGTTTTCGGAGTGGGCGAACACCCAATGGGAATGCATTAGCCGATGTTTGACAATCGCTTTGCAGCTGGACACATTTATTAGTGCAGCTCAAGGACACCAAAGGATGTTGCTCTACATACATATTATGTTGCCTTTGTTGCTGCCGCACTGACCAGCTGACCAGCTGACCAGCTGACCAATGAACAAATGGCCAACTGTGCAGCTGCCCCAAATGTTCATCAATGTCGTCTAATGCGCATTCATTTATAAGTTCTCTAATCATTTCTTAGCTTGGCCAAATGGCCGTAACGCACAGTGGTTGAAAATGTAAATTAACGGCACAAAATCTTTTAAAATTCATCTAATAATACTGTTTACATAGAAAACATAAATAATTTCAAATATTCTTAAAATTAACAATTCAATGTTTGCCTTTAATTAAGTTCATAACTTTAACAGCGAAATAAAGAAATATTAACAGCACTTGCATGTTAAAAATCAGCAACTCTGTTAACGCTTTCGCAATTCTATTACAGAGTCTGTTAGCGTTTCATTTGAGTTGCTGCTAATAAATACCATTACTATTAATAAGTTTTAAGATAATTCTAGCTATGCACAATAATTGATATATAACTATCTATATACACCATTCCATATACAAACATTTTCTTACCAATATACAATCATTTTCTACCAATACTTAAATTACTCAAGTCCCACTGTATCATTGTTTACTGGCAGCTTGATGGACACGTTGCGATAGCATATGGGGACTTACCGATGCTTTCTGCGATGTCGCTGATGACCGCCACCGGGCATCATGTGCTCAAGGTCGTCGATTTTATCAGCGTCAGTGTCCATGTCCAGTTGCAGGTCACAAGGCGAGTCCTCGGCATTATAGGGGCATTGTCTGCGGGTAATAAATGAGCGTGATGAAAATGACAGGCGACGCTTTTGGTGGACATTTTATACACATATTTATATACATGTATACATATACATATGTAATATATACACGTATATAATTTATAATGGCAGCTAGACGACTTACATGGCCGGGGCATCAGACGCCTGCCCAACCACATGAACGCACTGCTGCAGGCCATTGGGCGTGGGATAAACAAGCGCTGGATCCGAGCAGCGATGGTGACGCTCTGCAAGCATAATGCAATTGTATTAGTAACTGCTATTTGTGGCGTCGTACCATATCAGTTCTTACTGTACTTCCGTTTGCGACGTCGATATTCATCATCGCTGCCCGTACTTTGGGCAGCTGTCGCTGCGGCCATCGTCAGCGTTGGCTTAAAGCTTTGAAAGGGTTTTTTGGATGTCATCGATTTGGTGGCACTGCAGCAGCCAGTGGGAGCCACACTGGAACCCGTTGACGTTGAGGTCATGCGTTGCAATTTCTCGGCCAACTGCGCCGGCAACGGCTGCTCATAGCCCACCTCCCCCTCCATAGGAATTATAACCGCTTCGGGCGTACGTCGTATGGGCAGCAAGCTGGTGCTACGTGATTTGAGGCGCTCCGGCAGCGAATCCCGTCCAGCCGAGGCTGTCGGCGTGTTGGCATAGCTGGGCAGCGCGTGCAACGACTGCGAATCGCTCTGGGCCAGCACTGTGCTCACCGTTACATTGGCGCTATCTTCGGATGTGTTTTGTCGCGAGAAATATCGCGCATAGGCAGCGGCAGCTCCGTCGAAATCGCTGCCGCTTTCAGTGCAGGACAGCTGCTTGGGCAGAGGACGTTTGCGTTGCAGCTGGGCTTGGGCTTGGGCCTGGGCTGGAGGCTGTGGCACGCGCAGCGCCTCGATTTGCACCGCCACATGGGGGGGCGGCGGAGGCGGCTGCCTGGCCAGGCTGGAGGGAACATGAACATGAATGCGCTGGAAGAAGACAGACATTAATAAAGATTTACTATAGACACTAAAAGCCAAGTGGAGCAACTACAACAGATTCCACTCACCGCTTGCTGTGGCACAGGTAGCGGCATAGTGCGCACCATGCTGCGCGGAAAGACGGGACTGCATTGGGCGCTTATGGATTTGGCCTCCAGGATGCGCAATCTCTTAGCCAAACGCGCACGCTCACGCGTATCCGCATCACCATGGGCCAAGGCAATAATTTCAGCGCCTCCAAAACTGACCGTGCACCGTGAACTGGAGTAGGACAGACTCTCCAAGCTGCCATGCAGCGAGCCAGTGAAACTATCATCCGCCATCGTCGAGCTGTGCTGGCCAATCACAGTTGCAGTAGCTGTCGCTGTCGCTGTGGCTGTTGCTGTGGCTGTCGCTGAGGTATTGTCGTAGCAGGAGGCAACTGGAGTTAGATACTCGGCTTCGCCATTGGTCGTGGTGCTCATGGAATGTCTTGGGTCAGGCACTGACAAGGCTTGCTCATGGGAGCTGCTGCTGCTGCCGCTGTTGCTGCTGCTTTCATGCTCTCCCGCCGGCGGCTTGGCGGGCGTATGCGTTTGCGCCTGCACCAGCAGGCTGTGGCTGTGACGCGCCGCCTGGCGGCCGCCCGATGAGTTGCTCAACGTGCTGGCCACGCTATCCTCCAGCTCCAATTGCAATGGCAGTGAACCGGTCGCCAATTCAATGTCAGCCGGCCTATGGCTAGGTGCAGTCTTGCCTTGAGTCAGGCTTTTCTCAGGCAGTTGGTTTTCTTTCTCCATCTCCTTCTCCTTCTCCCCCTTCTCTTTCTCTTTCTCCACCTCCACATCCTCCTCCTCGGACCCCTCCTTGCTGGCGCGTCGTGGTCCGAAGAGCTTGCGCGGCAGCAGAATGCGCCCAATTGACTTACGCTTCTTGCGCTTCGCCCGCTTGTGCTCCTCATAGTCACGCTTGAGCGCCTGCATCTTGTGCTCCACGAGCGTGCTGAATACCGCCTCGTAGGTGAGCGCACGCTGCAGATCCAGCAATATATCATTTGTGGACACCGCTTTGTCCAGCTTGTTGTTGAGCAGCTGCAGCGAATCGCCAGCTCTGCCGCTGCCGCTGCCCCCGCCACTGTTGCTATCGTCTGCATCGGCCATGTTGTCCACTTGGAGATCTCTGCCTAAGGTGTTGCTCCCTGTTGCCGCTGCTGCTGCTACTGCTGTAGTAGTTCTTCTTGTTGTTGTTTCGTTTGTGTTTGTTGTTTACGACTATTTGCATTATTGTCGGCCTGGCTGCCGTTGATCCTGGTCCACGTCCTCGTCCTGCTTGTCATGTGCTTGCCACAGCGCACGCTGTGTTGTTGCTGTTGTTGCTGGCGCTGATACGTCGCATATTTTTGTGTGCGCCTCAATTGCCACTCAATGAATCTCTCCGGCAATCTCTCGTTTGAGCGCTCGCAACGACTTCAAGTGGTGCTCCAAGTGCCGCTTATATCCAAATGGTGCACACCTGCAATGGGAGACAATAAAAAAATATTAGACTACGCAACCACCGATGGCAAGACGGTTCAATAGCCCATAGACGATGAGACAAGGCCGCACACCTGCCACCCCCCCCCCTCCCCTTCCCCATTGCGGACCTCACTCTGTCCCACTTCAAGCAGCTAGCGAGGACACGCTTCCACAGTTTGCCAATAGTTTTGCACATTTTTGTGATTCAAATTCTGATTCGCTGCCTTTTTTATTCATGAGTGCTGCTTCCTACTTGTTGCACGCACACACATACACACGCACACATATACATAATTTCATGCGCACAGGTGCGCCTAACCTTGGTTAAAAAGTTCATTTTTTCTTTACAAAATCATAAAATTCCGCCATATTAAAAAGTTGTTTCTTATTGCAACGGTAAAATTTGCATTATGCTAACAGCGCTTGCAGCACTGGCTATAAATTATCTTTATCATCATGTGCATTCCTTATGCATTAGGTAAGCAACCTATTTACAAATATTTAATCAGAAAATTCGTTGGAAATGGACATTGAAATAACTAGGTTGTGTTTAGACACAATGAATATTATTTGTTTATTGTTTATAATAATAGATTTGCATTTTGCAGCACTATTTGCTTAATAACAGCACCAGCTGAGTTTAGCAGCAAACAAATCATATTTAAATGAGCTTTCGTTTGGAAAATACCAAAAGACATTTACGATGTTTACCTTTTAACAGCTCCAGCTGAGCAAAATAACAAATTATTCGAATTATTTGCAGAATTTGAAATGTCATTTGCACTGCTTGATCGCAGCTAAATGGACTCCTAACACCACCAGCTGAGCTTAACAGAAAATAAATCTCCAAATAATCAATGAAGAACTAATGCAAACTACCGGCGCTTGGAAAGAATCCCTAATGATGCTTTGCAATGGCGCTTGGACAAGACTAGCTGAGCTTAGCGGCCATAAATCAAAATTAAATGATCAACGAACTGCTTCCTGTGAACTTCTTCCCCAATGACTTACTGCAAAAGTTATATTTGATGTTGGCAACTCTTCGCCATTTGGGAACTCCTCGCTTACTGCACTGTGGCACTGTGGCACTGTGGCACAGGGACACTGTGCTCTGGGCCATTGGGCGTGTGCCAGCGACAGCTATCCCCACGGCCGTTGCGCTTTCTCCTGCTACGCTTTATTCTTCTACGGTTGCTGTCGTTGCCAGCAAATAAAAATATACAATGGAAATGGATATTGTTTTCATTTCCGCAGTCACAATCGCTGTGCTCTACTGTGCATGTTGACGGCGACATTTGAAATATGCAAAGCACACAGACCAATATACACACGCACACACACACAGAGATAAATAGTGAAACATATGTATTAGTGCATGTTCGTAGGCCTGCCACTGGCAGCGAGATGCAAATGAGGCAGAAAAAAGGTCACAACAATGGCGCCAACAACCGTAATAGAAACAACAACAACAACAACAAAAGGAACACGAACAAAAAGTGATTAAATGCAAAAACATGCCAAAGGCAGCAGCCCTGAAGAAAGTTGCGCATTTGGGGGACAGCCAAGCCACAGGCTTGGCTTAGTCGCATGCATTTAAATATGCCATGCGGCAGGCGCTAATTAAACGATACGGCCGGATAATGGAAAAAGTTGAATGCATAAATTTGCACTTTCGCATAGGAAAAGTTAACCGTTACTAAGTAATCGTCGACGACCAGCCATGCTGCCTAAGCATCTTATCTGCCCGCCTCTCAGCAGCAGAATACAATATCAAACAAGCCAAGCGTGCAAACAAAACCAAAGAGAGACAGGAGAGAGAGAGTGGGCAGCGAGGTGCGAATGAGAGTGAGAGTGTGCGGGTGCGAGTGTGAGAGCAAGAGCTAGAGCAAGAGCGTACGCATAAATCTAAACAAAACCACATGCCTTAACTTGGCAGGGCCGCTGCTGCTGGCGTCGCAGCCAGTCCAAAAATAAATCATTCGAGGACATAAAGAGAAGGCAAGCAAAATAATAACTGTTGCTGCGGCGACCACAAATGTAAATAACAGACGCAGCAGCAGAAGCAGCCGTAGCCGCAGCAGCGCAGCGCTGCTCAACAGTTGAACCAGAGAGAGCACGTCCTGTTGCTCAGTTAGCTCGCTCTCATTTTTATGCTCTCGCTCACTAGCTGTTAAAGCGCTGTTAACAACCTGCTTGTTGCTGTCCATGTGAAAGAGGGTGTGTGGCTGTGTGTGTGTGTGCTCGTGGTTTTGTGTGGGCGAACTTCAACGGTAAAATGGTGAACGTACAACTGTGTTTGTGTGTCTGTGTGTGTTTGTGTTTTTGTCAACAGAACTTTTTGGACCCAAACGCTTGGTCGTTTTTTTCCATTAAATTTTATTTGATTGTATTTGCGAGCGAGTTACTTTCACTTTCAGATGTCAATGACAAGCATTAATAATGCTTAATTAGTGTTTCGCCCAGAGCCAGCACAGTGGGACGCACGCATACTATATGCTGTACAACATATCGTATATGTAATGTGCCAAATTATGTCCTGTCTCCCATACAGCACACAGCATACAGCATACAGCGTACAGCATACAGCATACAGCATTTGCAATTGGCATTAATGCGCTCAACCATGGCCTATGCTACAATATATATATACAATTGTTAATATTAATGAGGTGCAATTAGCCGTTGAAATCTGGTACGGAATTGTAAATGCCATTAGCTGGGCCCAAGGCGAATTCGCCCACGGCGCCTGTTTAAATTTAATCAACTCTATACTGTGTATGTATTTGGTCGATGCTCATTCACTGCTGGGTATTCAATTATTGACGCCTATTTTCGCCGCGGCGGCCTTCACACGATTTGGTGGGCGTGGCAAAGTGGCGTACTGCAGCGCAATACACACACAAAAGGCGAATGCCAAATAAAACATGCACATGGCTTAAAACACATGACACCGAAACAAGAGAAGCTCAGCGGCAAAAAAAAAAAAAAAACAATGATGAAAAAAAAAACAGTGAACCTAATTCAACTATTTATTTAAGAGATACTCTGTAAATGGCTTCAACTTCATAGTTAAACACTTTAAAAGTAATTCTGAGGCAATGGAAGTTCCGCGAATAGCAGCTAACATTAACTTTAACTGGCTAACATTAACAGTTACTGCAACAGTTAGAGGCTTTCAGGCAACTGAAATCCTTTATATTCCGTAAATGTTTTACGGATTGCAGTTAAGGTTTTTATATATGTATGTCGGTATAATAGAATGAGAGTTAGAAAAAGATCCATCTAAAATAATATGAATCAATTACAGTGGGAATTGCTATAGCAGCAGCAATTATAATAACAGTCGATTAACAGCATGCGTAAGCTGATCAGCGACAGGTTAACATAAACTGCTCTAACATAAATTTATTTGCATTGTAATAAAGATATTTCAACTTCCACACACACTTCTGCCCATTGCAAATACCCGGTTTTGGAACGAGTTTTAATGCAGGGTATGTAAATAAAAACAGAACAAATAGAAAACGCTTTTTGCACTGGCACGACCTTTGAAATTAGAGTTCTGAGATGTGCACGTAAAGTTTGTGTGTGCAGAGAGTGTGTTATATTGTATGTATATATACATATGTGTGTGTGTGTGTGTGTGGAAGTATGTGTGTACATTCAAAATGAGTCCTTGGCCGCAACGAGCTGCAGCAGCAGCAACATCAGTCCCCTGTCCCCAGTTACTGTTTCTGTTTCAGTTTTCAGTTTCGGTCTCGGCCTCTAGCAGCGTGTCAGATAATTAGTGAAAACTGTCTGTGAAGAAGAGTCTGTCGTCGTGGTCCGACTCGGAGGCTCCACTGTTTCACGTCGACGGCAATGTCATGCCATGCAGTCGACCAATGTGCCCCTATATGCCCGCTGCACCTGCTTCTCATCTCACCTCACCTCATCTCACTTCACCTTTCCTCTCGCTCTCTCTTGGTTTTGACAGCCTTCGTCCAGATGAGCCATATGAAATGCAACCTGACACTTTGCTGACACACAAACATGTAAAACGAATGTGAATAAGTGTGCGTCAGTGTGTAAATATTTCGTTTGCCTCTGTGTGTGTGTGTGTGTGCTGTAACTGTTACATTTCAGCTGACATTCGTAGACACCAGTTGTTGTTGTTGCTGCTGCTCGTCTGCATTCTTACAATTCATTTGAGAACATCTTTTGGCTTTATGCAAATGCAAAAACTCAGCACATATCGATGACATATGTACGTTATCATTGAGGCAATTAAAATTATTTGGTATGTAGTATATAACTCAGCAAAAATGTCAAGAGACACATATGTGGGGCAGACCTCTGCATGATAAAGATATCATGAATACCCAAAGAGACAAAAGAAATCTCAATTAAGAATTTCTTAGCTGGTATATTACCTATTTATTTCGTATTTCTGCAGCATCTCAGGCTCCTGAATACTTGAGAGATTATTTTATAGAAAGGGGACTGATTAAAGCTTCTCCTTAATTTTTACTTTTACTTTAAATTTAATTTCTTTCAGAAGTTTTAGTCATTCTAGCTTGTATTATTCCAGAGTTACTTGAAGTCTGATGTTGGTATCACTTGCTTCATTCATTTCCTATGATTCTTCAGTTCTTTGAGCCTGTTAATCAATATCTAAGATATGGCAATAATTGGAAAAGATGTGAGGGAGCAAATATATAAATTTCATATGCCTTAGGTAAACAAAAAAACACATGCCAATATATTTTATTCAAGTCTACTAGTAACTAAGTTCTTTGAAGATGGATTGGGAATCATCATCATCAATATTTAAGCGAAATCATTTTTGAGAATTTGCCGTAAAGTTTCTCTGTTTGCAGGGTATCAGGAGGTTGAATTTTACATAACGAAGGAAAACTCAAGTTATTCAAAGCTAAAATCCTCTGAATTTCCTGCTAATAGAAATACTAAATTTATACTAGTTTATTGTATACCGTAAATCATTCGAAATGTAGCCAC